AAGTAACAAAGAATTCATGAACTTCTGTCTGAGAAGAAATGTGATTTTGAAAGATATTGTTGTTGTGTGATTATACAAAATTTTTAGGAATATTCATAGAGAGATCTCTATCTTGGAATATTCACATTGACCATATCTGTAATAAAATAAAGAGAGTTTTTTTGCACTCCTACAACTTCGCAGCATTTTGAGTGAGTCGGGTCTTGTATCTGTATATTATGCATTGGCATATTCACATTTATCTCAAAATGTTCAGATTTGGGGAAAATCTGAAGATGTTCAAAGAATTTTCATCATCCAAAAGAGGATTGTGAGGCTCATGTTCAATTTAAATTACAGGTCTACATGTAGGCCCACTTTCATTGACAAAAAGATCCTAACCATGCCCTGCATCTATATTTATAAGTGCTTGTTATACGCAAAAAATCATCTGAATGAACTTCATCAACTTGGAGAGAACCACACATACAATACCAGACATCGGCATATTCTAGCAATACCAAAGCATGAGATAGCAACGTTCAAAGATAGTTTGAATTACGATTGTATAATTTTGTATAATAGACTTCCTGAAAATATTGAAACTTTGAATTGTATCACTTTCAAGAAGACAATCCGGGAAACACTTTTGAAAAATGCTTTTTACAGTGTGCAGGAGTTTATCGATAGTGCCATTGATGTATAAGATAGTAAATTCCAGTAGTATTTCATACTCTTTCTGTGTTTGTTTGTTCGAAAATGTGTCATTGTTGTATACAAATTGATTCGTATTGCTATCTGCTTCGATCATTTCAATAATTTTTAATAACATATTATTACTAGATACTGACTTAACAGTAATGTCATTACTGTTACTCCCTAAGATGTATATATACCAAGTTGACTTGCCGCATGTACATGAACATGTATCTCAAAATGGCTAATGAAGTATTTCTATTTCTATTTCTATATATGATGAAGAAATCAATCCAGGCCTTGAGACCCAATGCATTTCTCAAAATTGTTTTGCGGTGATTATCTGGTCCCTTCCACTCAGACAGGACATCAATGGCCTTGCAGAAGTTCAAAGATGAGCCACCAAAATGCCTCGTGGTTGTACGAACACCCTCATACGAAGAACGACTTCGGAGCCTGCAACTAACCTGCCTGAAGACGTGAACATGGTGACCTGATAACAACATACTGTATCCTGCCCGGCAATTTCTTCATTTATCGAGATTTCTTCAACTTAGATACTGATCCTTGGCTGCGTGGACATGATAACAAACTGAATAATGAAGATTTTCGCACTTCGATAAGACATCTCTCCTCCAACCGTGTCGTCAATCCATGGAACTCTTTAACCAATGGAGCTGTGTCTGCTCCATCTCTAACCCATTCGAAAACTGCCTGGACCACCATATGAACATAATTTAGAACTTATATTGAATCATGAGTACTTTCATAGTTGGTTTCTCTATTCACTATTTTTGTAACATTCAATGCATACGATAGGGCACGAAACGTTACCTAACTTTGTTATTCTGAGCATGATGAGCCTCTGGTTCCTGCTCTTATCATCTTCGTAATGATAACAATTATTTCAGAGTGAGCGTTGTCTCTCCATTTATTGTTCATATAGGTCAGTGACAAATACAGTTTCACAAACAGATGACATTCATGGCAAAATGATAGGAGTATATGAAAACACTGACAACTAACTAACGAGACCGCTCATACTATAAGATCATAGCTCATCTATAAACTTCACAAGATCGAACTTGGTTCAATATAGAGTCACTGAATGGTATTAGTTTGATAAGAGTTCGGACACAGAAATGACAACGGTTAGGGTTTTTGAATGTTTAGATTCATTAAGTTACACACCTTGCATTGTGACAAGAGCAACATAGTCGTCCTGCGCTTTTCCTTTCAAAATTGTTTGAATTTGACAATCAATTTCATAAACGTCAGAATTGAAATAATATTTCATTATCATACTTTCGAGAAAAAAGCAGTTATGGAAATAACTTGCTGTGTAACGAATTGTGCCAATTCAGAAAAAAATGGAAAACATTTATTCAATTTTCCAAAACAAATATCAAGCATTCGCTTATGGAAGGAAGATATAGGTGGAAAATCAATGTGAAGACGAGCAAAATTTGCGAGGTACTCATTAAATTTCCCTTCTTATAACAGCATCTGATTAGAATATTTTAGGCCCATTCTCAAACAGAAGATTTCAAAATCTGTTTGAGAGAATCTGCTGTTCCATCAATTTACGAAGCAGAAGAATATTAAGGAATTCAAAAGCGAGTCGAAGTATGGGATTGAGAATTTCTTATTATGAATGCAAAACTCTGTGTTCCCAGTTTTCGCAGTTTCAGAAGCTATATTATGTTCTCACATATCTATTATACCAACTTCGGTATTTATGTGAACATAAAACCAATGAGAATAGTTATTTATGTTTATGTTACTAAGCTCCTATGGCGCTAAGTGAAGTTGCTGAGAACTTAACAAAACCAAGTGTGTGGTAGGTCTCGACAAAATAAACTACTGTTTTCCAATGAATGGATGTTCATCGAAAAATGATTTGTTCTCTGTATTTCAACACTCTGTAGCTCCGAAAGGAAGCATTTCCGGACACAAGCTTATTTCTTAAAATTGTCTCAGGAATACTTCACTCGAACGTACTTATGTTACTTCCTGTATATTTAGAATGACTATCTTTAATTGCATATAAATATCTTCATGTTTTATACTTATAACTGGAGTTCAGTTTCACATATAATAAGGAATTAGCAGAAAGTATGTCCATATGTGTATATTTTCTAATATTAAAATTTTTGAACACACATTCTTTTGAAGTGGGTGTTTGTTCCCTATTTCCATTGTCCATCTTCGGCTATGATTGATTTGACAGAAAACATAACCTCTAAAATCGTATCTGACAATTAGGCGCTACTAGGGAAATTGAAAAGACAAGGAGCAGAATATATGTCTTATTCTTTTATTCACTTAAACCATTGTATTATACAGGGTGTTTCAAAAAAACCTGACCCCCTTAGTAGGGTAGGTAGAACACTGTAGAATAAGTTGGTTTTACTCAGTAAAATAATTTCGTTACGGCATCCGTTATTAAGATACAAGGTGTTAAAAAAAGGATGTTTTTACACATTTTTCAAGATTATGTCGAAACTACTGGCAACATTGTGATGAAATTTTGTATGGATGTTTCTCGGAATCTGACACATCGCATGCCTGTGTTTCTATATCTGACTCTCATAGGGGGCGCTAGTTACACGGTTCGTACCGAGTAGTTTTGAACATAACTTTTTTGAGGTTAGATTTTTCAATCCAAATTTGATGTGAACTTGAACATCATTCAATTTCACACCTAAAAGGTACTCTTGGTAAAACTCGATACCGTGTCCCGTTTTCGAAATATTTCGATTAGAAAATGATCAAGTGATTACTGTTGCTGGTATAAAGCTATGTAATAGAGCGAGTATTATGAAAAATTATCATCTATTTATTGGAAACCGAAAACAGCAATACATTTCTGATGCTAAACTTATTGATTTAACAATGAATCACAAGAATAACATCGAAACAGATTTGACTAAGAACATGGATTACTCAGTTTTGTTGTATCTTGTGCAGAAAGTCTAAGCTACATAGGTAAATTCACGTCAAGAGTTGTGAGACATAATTCAACATCACTTAAATGACCTAATACCTAATCCTCAACTGTTTAGAAGAATAATACATTCTTAAGAAAAGAATATAGAATCGTGTATTCGTCGAAACGTAGGACATTTTGAACACTTACTCTAACTGATTCAATATTTCATGTTTCTTGTGAAATATCTCTCAATTTTCAACTTATGATTCTTCGTTCCATCAATAACTTCAGCACAAGAATGATCCTATTGTTTTTGAATCTGAATAAATAGGTAATTGAACTCAATAAAATTCATTTTATACCAGCATCAATACTACTCCAATATTTTCAAATCAAAATATTTCGAAAACGGAACATAGTATCGAGTTTCACCAAGAGTTCCTTTTTGGTGTAGAATTGAATGAGGTTTGAGTTCATATCTTATTTGGATTGGGAAATCAAACCTCAAAAAAGTTATGTTCCAAACTACTCGGTACGAACCGTGTGAGAGTCAGATATAAAAACAAATTTATGCGATGTGTCAGATTTCAAGCAACATCCGTACAAAATTTCATCACAATGTTTCCAGTAGTTTCGACATAATCGTGAAAAATGTGTAAAAAAGTAATTTTTTCAACACCTTGTATCATGGAAACGGATGCCGTTAAGACATTTTTTCACTGAGCAAACCCAACTCATTTTGCAGTGATCTACCTACCCTAGCAAGGGGGTCAGGTTTTTTTGAAACACCCTAGAAAATAGAAAAGGACGAAAGTTCAGCTGTGTCCGAACTCTTATCAAACTAATACCATCCAGTGACTCTAGTTCAATAGAGCGTGCGCATTCAGAACCCGTCATGATATATCTTACTCACTCTTATGGTTAAGAACACCAAGATACATGCCTCCATGTCATTGATGACAGGTGGAAGTTCTTATACAATGCGTATAGGAACGGAGCAGACGCGTTTTCAGGCGAGGTATCTGAATGGAATACTCAGGATGCAGGGGTATAATAGAGTCTACATATAGTAGTTATGTCAGTATATAGAAATCATAAGAAAGTTGAAATCAACCAGTGCGTCAACCTCTCGCTGTGTTTTATGGTGGAGCAAACCTTGGAAATATCCCTATATCATCCGAACATACTCAGAATCATCTGAAATTTCCCGACTTTTTTTATCCAGAAATAATCATCAAGATCCCCAATTTATCTGCAGATGGATGAATCATCTGTTTCATGGTAACACTGCTTTTTCATAACGCCTTATGACAGGAGAATTACATAATCATTCATCATCAACATGTTTTACCCTGTATTCCAATTTATCTATGAACAAGAAATATTCACTCACCTTCGTGAATGCGTAAACTCCATATCCCATTATAGCTCCAGCCATCACCATATGAGTGAACATGAATAAACCAAAGGATTTATTGAATGCATCTTCTAATCTGGAAAGATCGAAACATTTTGTATGATTATTGTTATGAAACTAGTGACATAATAATATCAACTCAAAAATCTTGTAAGTAACATAGAAACAAGTCATCCATCATCTTTCAATGCTGCCCTGCTAAGCCAAACTGCCGCATATCGATTTTCTTTCGAAAATGAGTTAGACCCTGTTTCATATAGGTTATACTAATTTCCTACCATCAAATGAACAAGAATACGGTGGTATGATTCCGAAAAATGTCATTGATTCGCAATTAAAACTGTACCGAGATATGATAAAAAACTTTTATAACCTTATAGTACGAGACGAAAATAGCCAGTGACTAATTCTCAGCTTCAGGGTGTTTGAGAGAGGCATAAGGTAAGGGGAAAAAAAGAGAGTGGCAAAAACAATCCTTTGAAGATAAAATTTTCATGATTACTATGATGGATTGATGATAAGTAGGATAATAGTGCGAATATATAGCTCTGATGAATATCTTCAGTATATTCCATACAAAGCGTTTGCATTTTTTGAAGATCTGAACATATCATCGCACAACAGAAGAACAAATATAAAAATTTCATCCATATAAAACGGACAGAGTTTGTAACTACACTTGATTTTTTTGTCAATCTGCAATGGAAAATCATAAATAATCATTATTCAAATATAATCACGTGTCGAGGCGTTTAAAAAATCGTTTTGGTTAGTGGTAAAACAGTGTATAGTGTATAATCTTGTGTTCATTGCTCGTTATCTGAGGTTGAATCAGAATTAATCACAGAATCGTCACTATCACTAATGCTTTCACTATTGTCGAAACTAGGATGAGAGCTGATCCAACCATAAAAATCATTCTCATTCTACAAATCTGACTACGCCACTGGATTCTACGTGAAAAATTGTGGAAGGAACAGTTCTCACTTTTCCTCTAAAATGAAAGATAGCTGGGATACAGGGTGGTTTCAAAATGCAATGTTTTCAATTTCGCCCTGTATCTCAGGAACGAAGCGGGCTATGGACATTCTGTTCACGGTTTCGTGAGTTTCACAAAATAGTAGCCAACGTTCGCGAAAACTGCAAATCTGTATCTTCACAAATGAGCGAGATATCCCGTAAGGACATCGAAAATAGGACAGCCTGTACATACGATGAAAGTTCACTTAATGATCATAAACGTTTAGAAAGTATTTTCAATGGTTGTTTTCGAACAAACCTCCTTATTCTTGCATCGGTGTTCATTTTGCATTTATCCATATTCTAACTCATAATGTCCGTTAAAATAACATCCAATGGAAGTTCAATTTTTATCTTTCAATGTTCATCTATTTTTGTACGTAGAATGAATATTGATTGAACGTCCTTGAAATTTTCGCCTTCGAGAAGTTGTGGAATGAATGTGCCACGGACGTGAATTCGAAAATCAACATCCATGTTTGTACTGGTAATCACTTTTTTGTGAAATTCACAACTCAAAAAACAGTGAAAATTTAATGGTAACAGGCACGGTAGCTCTCATGTCTGATGGCAAAAAAGGATGTGTTGACTTCACTAAGTTTCTCAAAACTCTGAAAATCTTTCAGTATGCGCCCCCCAGTTTGTTTCAGTTGAACTGGGACATTGTAGTTATGCAAAACTTTATAATATTCAGAGGTATAGGGTTGATGCTGAATGAAGCATACATGAATAAGAACACAAAAGGTTAACTTTGAGGCCACTTTCAATTCCTCTCATGATTCAATCACAATTGACGGTTTTTTGTGAGGTACCTATAGGTTATCAACATACATTCAGCACCACCCTGTTGCTGCCATCACCCAATGCTAGCAAATTAATGCATATACCAGATGATTTCTTGAACCTCCTTCATATATTGGCCAATATAGTTAGAGTTCATACTGTGTCTAGAGACTAATAATACCTTATAACTAGTGAGTCTCTAACTAATATTAACACACCACATGTATGGGGAAATAGAAAAGATATATTTTGATGTATCAAAATCATTCGAGTGAAGAATATATGTTATGATAATTGGTCGATACCCAACTCATCGAAATCTAGTTGAACAAATGATCATTCGAAAGGGAATTTGACTAAATGGGTGGATCTGACCTTTACTCGGAACATCCTGGAATCTCGAAACTTGAATCATAACCGGAATCTTCAGTGAATCTTCTAGGCCCCACACGTTATTCTCTTTGGGAAACAGTTGACTCTGACATTGAAAGGAAACACAGAACCAGATGGTAGGACACCAAGTGGGGAAAAAATTCCCAGGTCCTGCTGATCCCCAAATTGGTGTCCACAGTAGCTGCCAAGGTGTGCCCTTCGTGTCACGTCTCTTAAAAGCCCGCCAGGGTGAATATAGAGGAACAACCTCACCAGAGATCTCAGGAACCAAGAAGGCGCCTCTGATGTTTTCCTCAACCAGCAATGGCTGTCTGAGCTATGAGGGCCAACAAATCTACGAATTAAAACTCCAAAACCTGTAGAGGAAATGATTCTCCAAAATTACTCAAAAATATCTCACCTTCCCGAGGGAATTGCCAAAAGAATAGTGGAGACAACGATCAGTCTCCAATGGTTCAAAACCCAAAAAAACTCATTTTTTTTCGGCATCGTGGAGCTTGACTTATCAAGACTGAGAAAGGAAGGAGACATCAGGAAACCTGTTTCTATATCCTCTGCAGAGTGTTATTGGAAATTATGATGAAGAAACGGTTGTAATTCAAATGCGAATCTGCGCAATGACATTGATATTGAAAATTTGACAATCACTCTAGGTTGCCAGATCAAACATTCAGGAATATAACGCTGAAAGAACTGATTGTACTGAACAGATTGAAATGAATAACACAAAGAAAAACGATGTACCAGTGAATCGCTCTTACTTCGCTAGGGCGTCATCTCGAAACGTACCAAAATAGTTGACACAGTGGACATCCTTCAACGTACTGTCTGAATTCTAGATCAATAGTGTTCACAATTTTCCTGAGAAGACTGCTGAATTCACTTCAGTAATGAAGAAAATATACGATAATTAAACAAACCAGAAACAAAACATAGTTTTCACCAGTATGAGAAATACCCCGTTGTCATTCAGTTATGAAAATGGTTCTCAGATGACTGGAGCAAGAAATTAACGATAACAATACAAAGTTTTCACTATCAAGAAGGCAAAAATTATTGTTACAGTACGTACTCAAGCACCTCGTAAATCAAAATTTTGACACAGAATAATCTCACCCGAAGGTATCATTGTGGTTGAGGTGTATGAATGACAACGAGATTATTTGACAGTATGTCATTCAGTTGTTTTTTCCTCAAGAATTTCGAGATTTCCGAAATCTACTTGTGATTTGCCATTGAAAAAGGAAATTTTTGCCCTACCAAATGGCTTGCGGTGAAACCAGATGTGATATCCATTTTTTTCTCATAGAAAATATTAGTTCTGAGAATCTCGATCTGGAAAAGAAATTCTGAATGACACCCTGTTCAATGATTGAGTTGTCATCCAAATTGGTGTCCGGAATAATGTTCCAAAATTGCCCGGGGTGGGAGGCAACTCTTAACATTTGGCAGCTATTTGAACGTTAGATATTTCATTCAATATCACTTGATTTAAATTCTACACGAATAAAATCACAATCATTCAATTTCAGTGCAATAATTTTCATGATGAACATGAGATGTGATGTAACAATTGATCTTGGATACAATTCCAAAGATGCTGATGTATTGGAAAATGAATTGTTATAGAGACTGAATTCGGTTAGGACATCACTAAACAGTGTTTCCCACTTCTGATGAACTCACGATGTGCCTATTGCAGTAAAATATGTTATTCAATTGTTCCAAAGTACTAACTTCAACTCGTTCTCTATCGCAAGTCGTTAACTCCTCAGTATAAGAATTCCCGATAATATGTCAAATAGTGAGGCGGTATCTCATGAAAATTTTGAAATTCGTGATACCAGTATTATTCATGTCCTTTATTGTTCATACATTATAAGTGCGTGCCGCACTCTTTATATCAGCTATAAGATGAGCGATTGGTATCATATCATACCATCGACTAAAAAGAATAACAATCAATATGATCTGCTTTTCAGAAACGGAGATCCTTTTCGACAGTGCTGTGCTTTTCATTGAATTAAAAAATGGTGGATTAGGATTTTATTTTATTCAGAAGAAATTACTTGACATTATTGTTTCCCATGCTTTAGATCCAGATATGTAAAGAATCAACTCGTTCCGAATGAACAGAATTTACTGTTTGCAATGGTGAAATTTTATAGCTCAAATAGGTGAGAAAATGAAAGAACACAAGTTATACTATTCATTGTTGTTGCTCGTTCCTTTGAAACCCTCATGAAATTATATGAAAATATGAATATGAAGTGAGTTCTCCTGAGGAAAAATTCCTTATATGATCTCATAAAATAATAACCCCTTTTCATTTCGATGAAAACGCACGGCACTATCCCAAATGATGTGCGTCTCTGAAAATTCGATACTTCCCAATATCGATATCCCAATACTCAACCCGAATTGCTATCAATGATATTTTTTTAAGTGAGTTCTCAGTTTGAATTAACTGATCCGTATACAAAGTGAGTGTCTCAATTACCCAAAAAGCGATTTTCACGTTACAAACTATTGGAATCTTGAGAGAAATTGAAAATTAGTTGATTCAATGTTATGTTATGACGGTTCGAAAACGACCGAATTATTTGCTTGTCTCACTTCAAATGTGATACAGTCTATTTGAACGTATTCATCATCTCTGCTCAGAGTCCTTGTGGAATTTTTTCATGTGAATACATTAGAGATCAAATGATTTCCACTAATGTTCTGATCTATCTTCTAAAACACACATTTTGTTTCGACATATAGCATAATGAGACGCTGCTCGATTCCATACTCAAATGAAATATTCGTCATCGTCGCATAAATGGTTTTCGACAATGCGTCCGGCAGTATCGATTTCTTCAAGTATTTTATCTAGATCTATGGATACCTCTGAATTCTCTTTCATGCAGAAAACCTCTCGAAAGCGTAGGGAGTCATCTTTGAACAATACGTTATAGTGATTAGTTTGCATTGAAGATTCGAATGAACCACATATACAGGGTGTCCCGAAATTGGCCTGCCAAACTTCACCAGCGGCTTTCACGATCAAAAATAGAAATAAAAAACCCTTGATGAACATGAGTCGAGAAATGTCTCCTAAGGAAGCTACGGGCTCCTGAAAGGGGGCTCCTGAAGATGATATTTCTTGAGTATTTCCGAAACTCCATGTGATAAAATGATGCAATTCGGTACAATAACTAAACTTTCCATACCCAATGCAGTGAAGATGAAATCATTCCAAAATTTCAATCAGAAGTGTATTATACAGGGTGGGACTACATTGAATATCGTTCGGAATTTTTTGGATGCATATTTTTCAAACAATTGAATCTCGGATTATGAAATTGCGCACCTCTTTACAGAGAAAAGGTAGGTACTTCTATTTCGTGACGATCAGATGTATTATTATCGAGTGAAAGCAATTCAAAAGTTTTTTATATCTGAGATATCATGCACAACATTGCAATGAGGCGTAGTGCAAAAGAAAAAAATGCACAAAAATCAAAGAACTTTTTTCATCATCATTCCTCCATTTTTTGAGATTTTATGAGATTATTTAAAGCCACTATGATTCGAAAATTGGCAACGTTATGCATAAGATGTGAGTGCATCAAAAGTTTTGAATCGATTTCACTCGAAAATAATTTATCTGATAGATGCCGAACAGGAGCACCTCCTTTCTGTGAGATGGTGTGGATTCTCATAATCCGAGATTGAATTATCAAAATTTAAGCATACAAAAAAGTTTGAGCAATATTTGATGTAGTTCCACCCTGTATTATATACTCCTGAATGAAACTTTGGAATGATTTTATGCTCACCGCATAAAAGTTTAGTTCTTGTACCAGATTGCATCATTTCATCACGTTGCGTTTCGGAAATATTGAAGAGATATCATCTCCAGGAGTTCTGTTTCAGGGGACCGTAGCTTCCTTAGGAGATATTTGTCGACTCATGTTCATTGAAACTTTTCTTTTTATTTTTGATCGGAGAAGCTACTGGTAAAGTTTGGCAGGCTAATTCCAGGACACCCTGTATGTCAGTGTGTATAATCTCTTCAGGCTGGGTTTCAAATTTTCTACGAGCTTCCTCATAAACGCAACCTTTGCATACTCGGCTATCTGAGTTGACTTTTATCCCAAGTTCTCGTGCTACGAGAGTTCTTACGTATCTCTTGTTCTGATGACGAAGCCCCACATGATATAATTGGAGTTGGGACCCACTTGTAACAAGGTTTAAGTCAGTTTTTCGTGAAACATTAGTTACTGCCAATTTATAGAGTAATTTATGCGGACTATAACCTTCTAATATAATTTTTCGATCCACATCGAAATCGCATTCTTCTACTGTTGACGTGAAAATGACTAAATCATTGTTTGTCTTGAGCAGCAAGTACAGAGAAGGATTTTTTTCTTATTTTTGTAACCAACCAAACATCGCTCAAAGTTATTTCATCTTCTCGTTAACCAGTGGCAGCTTCCATGATAGCTTCACTTCTCCCAAAGGTCACAATTATTTTATCACCATTGGCCGTTGTGACTACATGGCAGAAATGAAACTAGTTATATGATTCGAATATGTCTTTTCGGTTAGTTATATGATTTGTTACACCATTATCCACGAACCAGCTATCATGATCTGACATGAAAACCTTTCGATATCAAAGTGAGTAACATATCTTTATTTTGTCTTTCAGTATTCAACGCAGACGACGAAACTGGTTTTAGAGGTTGACCATCAGCATGCAATTTGGTATATTGTCTGACATTGTGATTATTACATGACAGTAGTTGCATATTCATTCCGATGATTTTTTCCTCAACTCATCGAATCTCTTCTGTTCCAACAAACTTGCCACTGAAACTTCTTGACTCACTTATTTGCTCTCATTCTGCTGCATCTTAGCCATCAACATCCAGCTTGATCTGAAGAAATAATGATTTTTCAATGATCTCGAGATTTTACAATTGTGTAACAATTCGGGTAACTCGATTTCATCTCCTTGTTTGATTTTCAGTTTCAACTCATCACATGAATTGTTCAATTTAGCGTCATTACTGGTGTCTTGCTGATAATTTCGAGCAATGCTCGTGAATTTTGTTTTCAGATACGCCGTCGGAGAGTCTGTGTAGGAACTACACAGACTCGAATTCCTCGTCCTATAGAAGTCTCATGATCTTCTTCAACGTATCTTTCGAAATATTGATCGTGAATATGATCAAGGCATTGGTTTCTAACTCCACATAATTGCTTAGCTCCTCATCGAACTTTGATACATCTTCAGCTCTAGCACCTGTCTATAATGCATTCGGTTCTCTGAGAGTTCATTATTCAATTTGCATAGCTCCAACAATTCTTCGAAGTAACATACCTATTCCTCAATTCCAGGTTGATCAATTCGTTTCACTTTCTGAAAGTCCAATCTAAGTTCTGGTAATATTCATATTTGAACGTCAGGTGAAATCCGGTGAACAACTTACTATTTTGTCGATATACTCAGGGTTGAATACAACTGCGTATTTAGACCCATAACCTGTTGGAGTATCTACTAGCAAAGATGTATCCTCTGATATATTCGACAATTCTATACAGGACAAAGGAATTAGGTTCATGCCAAACGGAAATATATCTATAACATTATTCAAAACATGTCAGGAATGTAATATTGTAGACAGGGCATATAAAGCATGACTAAATAACTACAAGAGTAGATATTTTAATGATATCGACCTTGCCGGCCCTGTGGAAAATTGAGATATCTGAAAGAATTCTGGCCCAAGTGAAAATTATTGGTTTGTTTCCATCTCATCGATAAGAGATAAAATGATGTTTGGATGAATCAGAAGCCATGCATTTTAGTTCTCATTCTTACCTGGAATCTTGAAACACGTCTATATAATGGTATGGAAAATACTCACTTCAAAACGGCGACATGGTATCTTACAGCAGAATTGAACTTCATTCTCTTCTTCCTCGGATCTCTTTCTCGCAAAGCCTTGTTGAACAAATACGTGACATGCCTGATCCTGAAGGTAAAAAAACAAAAATATCACTTCTATTTACTCGGGTTTTTTATGTAATTTATAAAACCGCCTCGGACTGCATACATTTTGAAAATTGACTGGTATTCATTGTACACGCCACTAGGATATTCCAGGCGCTGATTCGTTTTTTATTATTTGTAATAGCACCATCACGTATTACCTTTACCTTCTATATTTCTTTGAAGCCGGTGTTTTTTCGAATGTGGAACCAAGTACTATCGATTTCGCAGCCTTCCTTTGGAACTGTCGAGAGGGCCCTCGGTGTTCTTGATGAAATCACTATGAGGGGTTGAGCGGGTTGTACTATGACACTATAAAGCACCCTTTCGTAAGTGCTAGCGCGAAACGTGACTTCCGCGTTATTATTTTTACTTCTTCGCGGCGTCTCTTCTTTTCAACTGCTCACGCTGGACTGTCATTATGCGGAGCATGCGCAACAGGTATCAGGATAAACGTGATTTGTTCTTTAACGCGGGAATAATTGAATCGAAGAAAGAATAAATGAATACCTTTGATATTTCCATAATACCAGTAACTTAATGATAATTTACAACTACTCATGTTATATGAATATCTCTATACTTAAACTAAATGATGATATATAGTGGGAGCAACTTGAATACTAAACATACTGCCCACTTGTTTTGTTAAGTAGGGACTTAACTAAACAGGATATTTAAATTATGGATCCTCGGGTAAAGCACACAGCTTCACCAAAGGGCGGGTGTAAACCCCTTGATCACTTTTTACTTTGGCAACACGAGCGACTCCGTCCGTTCCGCAGATGAGTTCAATGACTCTAGCCAGTTTCCATTTCATAGGAGGCACGTTATCCTGTTTTATGAGAACCAACGCACCCTCCTTCAATGGGGTATCAGGAGAGGTCCATTTGTGTCGCTGCTGTAGCGTATGTAAATATTCCTGGTGCCACCTCTTCCAGAAATCAGAGTGCATACGCAACAATAGCTGATAGCGTGATAATCTATTTAGTTTTAGGTGGGATAAATCTGAATCCGGAATTACGGTGAATGGCTCGAGAGATAAAAAATGTCCGGGTGTAAGTACCGACAGGTCGTTAGGGTCTGAGCTCATAGCACAGATCGGTCACGAGTTAAGTAAAGACTCAATTTGAATTAACAGAGTATTGAGCTCTTCGTATGTTAATATTTGATCACCTATGATGCGCGCTAGGTGTCCCTTCACTGATTTGATGCCAGCTTCGGCTAAACCAGCGAAATGTGATCCGTATGGTGGTTGGTAGGACCATTTTATATTTTCGGAGGCGGCTGCGGTTTCCATGATTTTCGCTAGGTAATTTGCTGCACCCTTATAGTTCGTAGCGTTATCCGAAACGAATTCGGAACATCGACCTCTTCTGGCGATGAAGCGGCGTAATGCGCATAAAAAATTATCAGATGACAAATCAGTCACCAATTCTATATGTATTGCTTTCGTCGCGAAGCAAACAAAAATGCATATGTTACTTTTGATCGATTTATCACCTCGAGTTCTTCCTAAACTGGAGTTTGGAAGAGATTCCTAAAACGAGTTGTGACTCCGTGGACGATAAAATATGCGAAAAAATATTCATAAAAACAACGCATCGCACAGATACTGGTCGTTTCGTAGTCGCGCTTCCTTTCCGAGAATCGCAAAGTCCTCAGTTTGAAAACTCAAGATTACCCGCGTTGAAAAGATTTTTCTCATTAGAACGACGTTTGATAGCCAACCCTGCATTAAAAAGAGAATACTGTAATGTTTTCCAAGAATACATTGATAATGGACATATGTCCGTAGCTCCGAAAATTGAAGAAAACAATAAATATACGTTTTATTTGCCGCATCACGGTGTGATTAAACCGCAAGCCCTTACTACGCAATTGAGAATAGTCTTCGACGGATCAACTAAAGATTCGAATAACCAATCGCTTAATGACACATTATACACTGGCCCAAAATTGCAAGCGGAAATTAGCAATATCTTATTGAATTTCCGCTTACATCCTGTCGTCCTGACAGCGGATATAAAAGGCATGTATCGTCAAATTCTTGTTGAACTCGCGCAACGTAATTATCAAAGAATAATATGGAGGTTTTCTCCCGATCAACCCTCGCAAGAATTTACTCTGAACACGGTAGTTTTTGGTATAAACTGTTCACCGTTTCTCGCCCTAAGAACTTTGATACAACTCGCCAATGAAGAAAAACATAATTTTCCCTTAGCCGCAGACACAATCTTTAACAACACATACGTGGACGATATCGTAGTATCTTGCCCGGACATGATGTACGCCCGTGAGATGCAAAATCAGCTGGTTTCGTTACTCTCTCGCGGAAGATTTGAATTAAGGAAATGGGCGAGCAACAAAACTGAATTGTTATCGCACCTGCCCAACGAAGTCATCAATGAAAAATCGCTGAATCTGGACAAAGAAAACTCTAATACGGTCAAAATTTTGGGTCTAAAATGGAGTCCATTTTCGGATTCTTTTTCCTATTCTGTTACATGGTTTGATAATAAATGCACTAAACAACAAATCGAGTCCTCGACGACAATATAAAAAAACGAATCAGCGCCTGGAATATCCTAGTGGCGTGTACATTTGGTCCTTCGACGCCAGATCCTTCTATATTCCTTTCCAGTAGCCATTTTTTTCAAACTCAAATTATTGTAATTTGTAATATCTTGTGGTCGAAATTGGCGCAAGTGCGCAAGGCTAATAAGCCACGCTATCGTTATTTCCCTTGAATATCGGTCACTTTACTATCTTATCTCTCTCTCTCTCTCTCTTGGTCACATTTTGCTTTTCTTTCGAAAACGTCGTACATAGACACATCTCCACACCGGTCGACAAACAAGTTTTTTTGAAACTCTGTATATACAGAGCCGCACGCGCTCCGCCGTTTCCGCATTTGTTTCCGTGATTTACAATTTGCCGGGAAGTTTAATTTCATTTCGATAATGTCTAACGCAAAAAGGCTTAAAAAGGCTAAAACCTTGCGAGCCACAGAAATAAACAAAATGAACGCACTACATGCAAGTGCAATCAACGCACAACTTGATGAAAATAATCATTCCATTTTTATGCAGAGATTTAAGTCAATAGAAATTAGTTACGAACAATTTTACAAACAATACAACATTATTGTGAGTGCTATTGAAGAACATGATTTTCCACCAGAGGAAGCTATACGAGCAAACTTTGATGACCAATATTATTCAGTAAAATCAATTTATTATGAATTATTTGAACGAGATAAATTTCTGAATTCTACAGCTCTCGAAGAGGCAGTCAGCATGCCCGAAACTAAATTGCCTGAAATAAAATTAACAAAATTTTCCGGAGACATCAAATCTTTTACTACTTTCACTGATGTTTACAATGCTTTAATACATAATAATGGCCAACTTACTAATGTAGAAAAGTTCTCGCATTCATTGGCCTCTTTAGAAGGACCTCCGAAAAATTTGGTTATGTGTCATACTCTGTCTGCTGCAAATTATCCTGTTGCTTATAATGCGCTTATGAAAAGATAGAAAAATACTAGGTTGCTCTCCACATCACATTGGAATGAAATTGAAAATACGCCTCGATTGAATAACGAAAATCCCGCTCTACTTTCCAAAATCTTAGATACTTTTGTGGAAAATCTCGCAGCCCTAAACAATCTTCATTATCCAGTTAAACAGTGGGACTTTGTGTTAACCCAAATGTTGTTGAAACGTTGTGATCAAACAACTTTATCTAGATTTGAATTGCATCATGCTTCAAATGACATGCCAACCTTCAATAATGTAGTTGATTTCTTACGAAAACAATACGCCGCTTTCGAAAATATGTCATTTTCATCTATATCAAAACCTGTTAAACCAAGAACCAACGCCCCCTCTCAATCTTCTTTTACGCAATCTCGGTCCAGTTCTTCTTTTTACGCTAATACTACTAGAAATAGTAATAATGCCCGCTCGTGCGCATTCTGTAAAAGTATGGATCATTCAATTTACAAATGTCCAGGATTCTTGAATAAAACACCTGTTGACCGACTAAATTATGTACGCCAAAACCGTCTTTGCAATAACTGCCTAAGTGATTTACATTCTCTCAGATCATGTAGATCCAACTCGAATTGTGTTCACTGTAATTCAAGCTACCACCATTCATTAATACACAACTCTCGTCCTCATCCGCGTTCTCCGAACAATGAAAATAATAATAACTCACAAGCCGCTTCAACGAGTAACAATTATAATAGAAATAGAGACAACATCCCCGAAAATATATATAATACTCCACAAAATTCGTCTTCCACGAATTGTGCATTGACCGTTCTTCCTAAATCCGAACCTGACGCGGAAAAAACCCCGCGTCAGACGCAAACAAGCAACGTCTTGTTGTCTACCATTAAATTCAGAATTCGCGATCATTTTGGAAACTTTCATGTGGTCAGAGGATTATTAGACACTGGTAGCGAGTCTTCGTATATTTCAAAAAAGTTAGTTCAGAGCTTAAGGTTACCCATCCATAAACTGTCAATTACGATTCATGGACTTAGTGGAATGTTAACCAACCCACGAACAGGTGGTGTTAATTTTTCTATTACTCCGCTAAGCAAAACTTTTCCTGTTTACGACATTTATCGAAAATAATTGTTTAGATGATCTTTTGAATAGGATTTCATCTTTAGATAAAATCAAACGCATAGTAACGTTTATGTGTCGCTTTATTTCGAATAATTGAATCGAAGAAAGAATAAATGAATACCTTTGATATTTCCATAATACAAGTAACTTAATGATAATTTACAACTACTTATGTTATATGAATATCTCTATACTTAAACTAAATGATGATATATAGTGGGAGCAACTTGAATACTAAACATACTGCCCACTTGTTTTGTCAATTTCATGATTTCATCCGAAAAGTGCTGAAATTGTACTCGCTTGACTAAAATCAATAGCGCAGAATACAAATCTTGAGAGGAAAAATGTTCCAATATCTTTGACTTCGGATTTCTACTCGACAAATCTTAGGTGACCTCTCCCGCGTGTACGATCCCTTAGGTTTCCTTACGCCAACTACATTAGTTGCCAAGCTTCTCATTCAAAAACTCTGGACCTTGAAGTTGGGTTGGGATGACACCCCTCCAAAAAACATTTTGATTAAATGGAATAAATATAAAGATCAATTGAAAATTTTGGCTGAGCTCAAAATACCACGATACATTTTTTCTGATGAGGCAAAAGCTATTGAACTATGTGGATTTTGCGATGGTTCGCTCAAGGCCTATGCTGCATGTGTGTACGTTAGAGTTACGTCTCAAAATGAAATAAAATGCTTTTTGCTCTGTGCCAAGTCAAAGGTCGCACCCCTGAAAAGCATCTCCATTCCTCGCATAGAATTATGTGGTGCGTTGCTTCTTTCAAAATTGATGAGTTTTATTTTGGAGGGTTATGAGAACAAAATAAAATTTAAAAATATTTTCGCCTTCACGGATAGTATGATTGTTCTCCATTGGCTTAAGTCTTTACCGCATGGACAAAAACCGTTTATTGGCAACCGCATATCATTAATTTTAGAACATTTACCGCACGCTCAGTGGCGTCATGTAATTTCGAAAAATAATGCCGCAGATTGTGGGTCACGTGGGTTGTATCCAGAAGAAATTGTGAATTGTTCGGAATGGTGGATAGGTCCGTCATTTTTAAGAACACCCATAGATCAGTGGAATATATCTGATAATTCCACACCGAGTCTCGAGGATATCAAAAAGGAAGAAAGAAAAATTGTTTTAACCGCATTTATCGAAAATAATTGTTTAGATGATCTTTTGAATAGGATTTCATCTTTAGATAAAATCAAAACACTTAACTTCTTTTCAACTGCTCACGCTGGACTGTCATTATGCGGAGCATGCGCAACAGGTATCAGGATCAACGTGATTTGTTTTTTAACGCGGGAATAATTGAATCGAAGAAAGAATAAATGAATACCTTTGATATTTCCATAATACCAGTAACTTAATGATAATTTACAACTACTTATGTTATATGAATACCTCTATACTTAAACTAAATGATGATATATAGTGGGAGCAACTTGAATACTAAACATTCATGAAATATAGACTCATTCCGGAATTGCCGATGAGAAAATTGATATCTAACAGGATTTCTCATGAATACCCATCAAGACTACCCCGAGAGGGGTATGCCTCATGGCAATCCGTATGGTCGAATTCCCTAGTATAGATACCTTTGGGTCTTTCTGCGTAGATGAATATTCATGAATATAACATCGTTGAATCTCTGTACTCAGCGTAGAAGATTTAGTCATCGTGTTTGCTCAGTTAGAGAGCGCGTTAATTACTCGGTTTATAATATTCTTTTCTCTTCATTCTAGAGACACATACCCACAATACAATACGAAATGTTGATTCTTTCAAAAAACCGAAATTGCCTTGTGTCAACAACAAAAAGAGACAGTTATATAGTGTATATATAGGAAAATAACCACATACATTCATAACAATGTTCACTCTCAAAGTAATCTCCAATACTGTTGAGTTCAATCTCGACACTCACGTACCTAGTTGTTATCTCGAAATTTATCGAAGTGATTATAACTTTCATGTCATTGGGAGGACTATTGAACATTTTCAATCACATGTAGGAAACCTTCTTCCATTGAATGTGAGTTGATGACGGGGCTAACAATTGATAGTGATTCAATCGCACTCACTGCATTTCACGTCAGTACTTCAGTAGACGGGCTATTTGGTTGGAGGCCACGCCTACTACACCAATCAGAGACTGGCGCAAAATTCAAATTATTTATGCGACGTCACGTCACCATCATGAATAAATTTGGAAACGAGCTTTCGCTGCTGGGGAATTGGACCTCTGCATTGTGGGGCAGCCTATATACGCACTGTGGTATTCAGACCTCCGTAATATTACAATCATTCTATTGTTATTCAGACAAGATATGTAGACGTTGGGAAATCGACACAGTTGAGTAAAGCGAGAGATATACATTTCAGAGAGTCGACGAGTCGGAAATGGAACCCAATGTCGATAACAATGCATATCATTCTAGAAGATTCTAGAACATTTTGCGATCATAACAACATGTTTTGTCAAATAACATCCTCATGTCTCAACAAATAGATGAACACTAAACCACAAACAACAACAGTTGCTTGATATGGTGATCCATGGGAACAGAAAAACAAATTTGTTGACACCACGGGGGATGATTTCGAAAACACGTATAAGTTATTCAGACGCCGCCATTGGAGTACATGCGCCGGATCACCTTCAATGATAAGCAGCGGTAGAAGCTGACTAAGGATCATATCCTCGTAAGTTATCCTTTATTTTTTTATTACTCTGCATTCCGTTCACCTTTTATATTTCATACCGGAAATTATCTATGCAACTCTGAATTATTTTCATGAAATATCAATTTATTAGATTTTATTGTTTTTACTGAAGAAATGAAAGCAACGATTTGCACTCCAGACCTAGGTTTTCTTCTGTAATACCCACCAGCGTATGCTAGATGAAACCACGATCGGAAATTTTTCTATATTCAGTATTAGAGGAGTAACCCTTCTACTCAAAAAGCTAACATAGTGCCTGGAACACAACAGGATAGGGTTTCAACAGACTGGTGATCACAAAATCTTCAACCGGACTATCAGGCAACCAAAACGACAACGGTGACATGGAAATTGAACTGAATATTCATTTTTCCAATCACGGGGCCACATTCTACTGGCCATAAATCCAAGAGTGGGCTGACAATCAATCCTGAGGACCGTTCATTCTAGGAGTGGTTACAAACAAAATCAGAAAAATCAAACCAGAAGCAGAAATAACACAATAAGCTAGGCCAAGGTTATTCAACGCATCTCAAATCCACCTACCATCCCCATACCAACATACGCATTCAATTTATCTTGATGAAAACTGGTGTCTCGTATGTGTTGCTTGATATTCAATACTTCAAGAGAGATCGCTTATAGTAACAGTCAATTCAGAAGTGAGAAGAGATGGAGGGATATTATCAATCAAATTGACAGGAATCCTGGAATCACTGTAGAAAGTATTATCCGTGATTTTGATGATATTAACATAAGTGAAAACAACCAAAATACAATGCCAGAGACTAATAACGAAGAACTAAGACTCTTCTCAGATATCATACCAATATCCAGTGGAGATCCATGTGAACTCAATAATTTTATAGTCACATGTGATGAAGCATTTCAAAACTATAACAGACGACACAGAGTTTGTGAAAAAAACAATAATTCTCAGAGCAGTTATCAGAAAATTTCGCGGAAACACATCAACTCTAATATGTGGTTGTTTGAGTAATTGGTGTAAGTCACAATTGACCCTCACAGGTTGTTGAGAAGGACATAATTCACTCACCCACTATGAATTTAACTCTACACCTATTTGGAAATGATACTTATATTCAAATTTATAGAGATGATGAGAGAAGAATCAAATATTCTGAAGAAATTGACCTACAGACATTTCAAGGTTTCCAGTTGAAAATTGCAATCGTCACAACCTTACCTGGAGGCTATATGCTCGATGGTTTCAACCACCATCCATGATGCTGTACCGGCCACCATGTATACGTAGTGTGTACCAAACAGCTGTTGAAACAGATACAGTTGCTTGACGGGAAAAAAGTCGATATTGAAGGGCATCCATGTGTAAGTAAAGAGACCACAGACTTCGTTCAGACCTCTTCTCTCGTTATCTTCACGGCACTGATCACCTGCATATGATCGAGAATAGATCAAATTTCGAGATTTCAATGAGATGATGAATTTTTTCAATGGCTAGAAATACTCAGCATAACTTGTGAGCTATCAACAAAAGACCAGATACTCAATGAACTCTACTAAATAAGTAAACTAAACAAGAAGAAGGTACATTTTCAGGTTACAATATCGAAAATTATCAGACATGGATCTAGCAAATAGTGATTTAGTGACAGATCAATGCAGATTTCATTCGAAAAAAATTGGTTATGTGTACAGGGTGATTCAGCATAAATGTTCCCCCCCTAGCTCACTAATTTTTGAACCGATTTAAAAATTTGAACAATAATCTGAAATGATTTTTCAGATTTTTTTTCCGTTGAATCAGAAAATACAGAGTGCTCGAAACAAACGATTTATAGAGTACTACTTGATCTTTTCAAATGGAACACCCTGTATTCCATTGTATTCATTCTCAGATTCTTCCTGAAGAGCTGATTTCATCAATGTATAACACTTGGGGTCTAGCGGGAATGTTTACAGAGATATCGAATCGAGATTTTTCAAGCTTTGGGATTTTTTTCTGTCGAGACTATTCATCATTGATTGAAACGGTTTTCAAATCCATATCTCAACTTTTGATTTACTATCTAGTGATATTTAACTGGAACATTTACAGGGTGGTTCAAGATCCAGAATTCTGATTAGTGAATCAAAAGTTGTGAAACGGTCATGAGAGCCGTTTTGACCGATAATGAATAATTTCGTCACAAAAAAATCATAAAGTTGAAAAATCTCGATTTTGGACAACCTATATCTCTGTGATCATTCCCGCTTGACCCCGAGTGTGATACATCGATCGAAACAGCTCTTCAGGGAGAATCATTTGAAAAAATCGAATAGTACCCTGTAGATCGTTTGTTCCAAGCACCCTGTATCTTCTGATGTAGCAGCAGAAAACTGTATAAAAAATCATTCGGAATGATATTTCGAATTTTGGATGGATGGATGGATGGATGGATGGATGGATGGATGGATGGATGGATGGATGGATGGATGGATGGATGGATGGATGGATGGATGGATGGATGGATGGATGGATGGATGGATGGATGGATGGATGGATGGATGGATGGATGGATGGATGGATGGATGGATGGATGGATGGATGGATGGATGGATGGATGGATGGATGGATGGATGGATGGATGGATGGATGGATGGATGGATGGATGGATGGATGGATGGATGGATGGATGGATGGATGGATGGATGGATGGATGGATGGATGGATGGATGGATGGATGGATGGATGGATGGATGGATGGATGGATGGATGGATGGATGGATGGATGGATGGATGGATGGATGGATGGATGGATGGATGGATGGATGGATGGATGGATGGATGGATGGATGGATGGATGGATGGATGGATGGATGGATGGATGGATGGATGGATGGATGGATGGATGGATGGATGGATGGATGGATGGATGGATGGATGGATGGATGGATGGATGGATGGATGGATGGATGGATGGATGGATGGATGGATGGATGGATGGATGGATGGATGGATGGATGGATGGATGGATGGATGGATGGATGGATGGATGGATGGATGGATGGATGGATGGATGGATGGATGGATGGATGGATGGATGGATGGATGGATGGATGGATGGATGGATGGATGGATGGATGGATGGATGGATGGATGGATGGATGGATGGATGGATGGATGGATGGATGGATGGATGGATGGATGGATGGATGGATGGATGGATGGATGGATGGATGGATGGATGGATGGATGGATGGATGGATGGATGGATGGATGGATGGATGGATGGATGGATGGATGGATGGATGGATGGATGGATGGATGGATGGATGGATGGATGGATGGATGGATGGATGGATGGATGGATGGATGGATGGATGGATGGATGGATGGATGGATGGATGGATGGATGGATGGATGGATGGATGGATGGATGGATGGATGGATGGATGGATGGATGGATGGATGGATGGATGGATGGATGGATGGATGGATGGATGGATGGATGGATGGATGGATGGATGGATGGATGGATGGATGGATGGATGGATGGATGGATGGATGGATGGATGGATGGATGGATGGATGGATGGATGGATGGATGGATGGATGGATGGATGGATGGATGGATGGATGGATGGATGGATGGATGGATGGATGGATGGATGGATGGATGGATGGATGGATGGATGGATGGATGGATGGATGGATGGATGGATGGATGGATGGATGGATGGATGGATGGATGGATGGATGGATGGATGGATGGATGGATGGATGGATGGATGGATGGATGGATGGATGGATGGATGGATGGATGGATGGATGGATGGATGGATGGATGGATGGATGGATGGATGGATGGATGGATGGATGGATGGATGGATGGATGGATGGATGGATGGATGGATGGATGGATGGATGGATGGATGGATGGATGGATGGATGGATGGATGGATGGATGGATGGATGGATGGATGGATGGATGGATGGATGGATGGATGGATGGATGGATGGATGGATGGATGGATGGATGGATGGATGGATGGATGGATGGATGGATGGATGGATGGATGGATGGATGGATGGATGGATGGATGGATGGATGGATGGATGGATGGATGGATGGATGGATGGATGGATGGATGGATGGATGGATGGATGGATGGATGGATGGATGGATGGATGGATGGATGGATGGATGGATGGATGGATGGATGGATGGATGGATGGATGGATGGATGGATGGATGGATGGATGGATGGATGGATGGATGGATGGATGGATGGATGGATGGATGGATGGATGGATGGATGGATGGATGGATGGATGGATGGATGGATGGATGGATGGATGGATGGATGGATGGATGGATGGATGGATGGATGGATGGATGGATGGATGGATGGATGGATGGATGGATGGATGGATGGATGGATGGATGGATGGATGGATGGATGGATGGATGGATGGATGGATGGATGGATGGATGGATGGATGGATGGATGGATGGATGGATGGATGGATGGATGGATGGATGGATGGATGGATGGATGGATGGATGGATGGATGGATGGATGGATGGATGGATGGATGGATGGATGGATGGATGGATGGATGGATGGATGGATGGATGGATGGATGGATGGATGGATGGATGGATGGATGGATGGATGGATGGATGGATGGATGGATGGATGGATGGATGGATGGATGGATGGATGGATGGATGGATGGATGGATGGATGGATGGATGGATGGATGGATGGATGGATGGATGGATGGATGGATGGATGGATGGATGGATGGATGGATGGATGGATGGATGGATGGATGGATGGATGGATGGATGGATGGATGGATGGATGGATGGATGGATGGATGGATGGATGGATGGATGGATGGATGGATGGATGGATGGATGGATGGATGGATGGATGGATGGATGGATGGATGGATGGATGGATGGATGGATGGATGGATGGATGGATGGATGGATGGATGGATGGATGGATGGATGGATGGATGGATGGATGGATGGATGGATGGATGGATGGATGGATGGATGGATGGATGGATGGATGGATGGATGGATGGATGGATGGATGGATGGATGGATGGATGGATGGATGGATGGATGGATGGATGGATGGATGGATGGATGGATGGATGGATGGATGGATGGATGGATGGATGGATGGATGGATGGATGGATGGATGGATGGATGGATGGATGGATGGATGGATGGATGGATGGATGGATGGATGGATGGATGGATGGATGGATGGATGGATGGATGGATGGATGGATGGATGGATGGATGGATGGATGGATGGATGGATGGATGGATGGATGGATGGATGGATGGATGGATTTCGTCATGTTCTCAGCGGAGTCCTGAGTAGCCTTCGTAGACGATATCTCCAGTGGAGACTGAATTTTTTTGGTGGATCTAGAATAAAATTATCAGCTGTTAGCATTAAACATTTGCGTTTGTTATATTTCAATCCCATCACTCCACCTTTGAATATAAGTCCTATAGGCAGTATAGGTGTCACCACCTTTCGCATTTTCCTAAAAACCTACCCTAACTGAATTTCAAAACCAGCGAAATGGTACTGTCAAGGAGCGGCAGCTAATGTGTCTGGAGAACAGGGACGTGGGTTGATCAGATGTTGTTGTAATCAGTTTTTTTTTATTTTGAAAACAGCGCCTTTCGAATTTGTTGAAATGAAAAATCAGAAATCCAAAATTCTGGTCGAAATGAGTCTATTAAACTTCAAAAATCATTGCCCACAAGGCATTAAAGTTTGAACTCGAAATGAGCCAGTAAAAGTACTCAGCAGTAAACTTTGTGGGTATTATGTGACCTAATAATGAAATTAAGTTAGCCTAGTGGGGTTACCTACCGCATGCAGCTGTAAGAGATTACATATCAGGCCCACTTTTATCACTTTTTAAGATCAAGATGATGACTTTGAATTGTACCTTATGATGTGATACTTAGATCTGATTGCATTTAGCTACATATTATAATCAGCAAGAACTAATTATAAAGATAAAATTATAAGAATTTCATTGTGATAAGCACATAACTCAGTGAACTACCATATAATCAAAGGTGAACAAAGAAATATCATGAGCCCAACAGAACTAGAAAAAGCTCACCAGCTTTCTAGAACAGATCGTCAATCGATCATACGACAAATGTGTTCTAACAAAATGAAGAATTAAAATATTCATTTGAAAACAAAATCCTTGATCATATTGAAACGAATACGTCGATATAAATCCGATTTTCAGAGATTGATAACCTATTGGACTGATGATCATCACAGGTAAACTGATGAAGTTATAACACACAAATGTCAGTTG